CATAGCAAAAAGGCATGCAAGCAATCAAATTTGAGTACATAATTGTCTGAAAGTGTCACTTTGTGTCTCAGAATTCAAAATATCTTCATGCATTACAAAAAATACCCTATCATTCATACAAGTAATTTAAATTATACCATGAAGCATCATAAGTTTTGTTTTCAAATTTCCCAAGATGTGTCAAAATAATTCAAATTTATGAATTCAAAACTGTAATTTTCCCACTGTGCATCACAACACTTTTATATGCATGTAATTCAAATAATCAAATCAAACACAGTAAGAAATTCAAAATGCATCACAGTAATTTAAAATTATACAATTGTGCATCATGGGAAATTTAAATTAAGGAATCATGAATACAGTAAATGAGAACCCAGCATGCATCAGAAGAAATTTGAATAATCATAAAAAAATATGAACCAACAATGCACCACTACATTATTTACATACAATATCTTAGTGACATAAAATATTAATATTATTAATATAGTTCTATTTATATATATATTATACCAGTATGTCTTCTATAAAATGGGGTTAAAGGTATTGTCAAATATCAGCTACAGTTTATATCATAATCTTGCCATGTTTGGTTTTTGAATTTCAAATGATCTTTTTTCAAAAACTAATTAAGGCAGGAGGCACCATGTTGTATCGTATTCAATATGGGATCCAAGAGAATTATGCAATAAATGGAAAATACAATAATTATGATATTCACAGCCTTTAAAAAAAGTTATCATTGATTTACAAGGATGACTTTTTGGGGAATGTATGACACAATCGAATGGACCTAGGTGTAAAAAGTGATTTCAAAATATGAAACAAAACTACTATGAACTATTTATTTTTTGTTGCTAACCGTGTTCACTATTTGATAAATCTATATTATTTATGAAGACAAAATTTCACGAAAGTCTCAGACACTCTGTGTTGTAGAGCTGCTACAAAGTTTCATGATTTTAAGTGACTCACAAAAATAAAGGAGTATTCAAAGCACCAGTTGAATAAAAGAAAAAGAAAGTTACCCACATACATCACATAATGAATTTTAAAAAGTTGTTATTCTATTTAATGTAGTTTATTGCACCCATAATGCATCAGTGGTGTATATTTACCCCACAATGCATAACCGAAAATTAGAAATATGAAAAACATGCAGTATTTGGTATATCCCATCATGCATTACCAGAAATAGTATGTATCCCATCTTGCATCCTATGTAATTTATTATCCCATCATGCATCACATGCAGTTCAATATATCCCATCATGCATCACATGCAGTTCAATATATCCCATCATGCATCACATGCAGTTCAATATATCCCATCATGCATCACATGCAGTTCAATATATCCCATTATGCATCACATTCAGTTCAATATATCCCATCATGCATCACAAGCAGTTCATTATGTCCCATCATGCATCACACACTGTTCAATATATCCCATCATGCATCACATTCAGTTCAATATATCCCACCATGCATCACATGCAGTTCATTATGTCCCATCATGCATCACATTCAGTTCAATATATCCCATCATGCATCACAAGCAGTTCATTATGTCCCATCATGCATCACACACTGTTCAATATATCTCATCATGCATCACATGCAGTTCAATATATCCCATCATGCATCACATGCAGTTTATTATATCCCATCATGCATCACACACAGTTCAATATATCCCATCATGCATCACATGCAGTTTATTATATCCCATCATGCATCACACACAGTTCAATATATCCCATTATGCATCACATGCAGTTCATTATGTCCCATCATGCATCACATGCAGTTCATTATGTCCCATCATGCATCACACACTGTTCAATATATTTCATCATGCATCACATGCAGTTCAATATATCCCATCATGCATCACATTCAGTTCAATATATCCCATCATGCATCACAAGCAGTTCATTATGTCCCATCATGCATCACACACAGTTCAATATATCCCATCATGCATCACATGCAGTTCAATATATCCCATCATGCATCACATGCAGTTCAATATATCCCACCATGCATCACATGCAGTTCAATATATCCCACCATGCATCACATGCAGTTCATTATGTCCCATCATGCATCACACACTGTTCAATATATCCCATCATGCATCACACACAGTTCAATATATCCCATCATGCATCACATGCAGTTC